TTTCCATGACAACAGGAGCCGTAGCTTCTAGTGAAGCTGTGGCTGTGTCTTCTCTAGTCTCCCTAGCTTTCCTCAGATGTCTGGTCCAGCTGTCTTAGCTCCTGACTTTGCATATGTCCCAGCTGTGCCCTTTCTTCAGCATGGAGCCTCAGCTACACTTAAGGAGAGCAGCCACATGAGGTGACTACTGGCAAGACCAGAGTCACAGCACTCTCATGGCTACTCACCACTCTGCTCCTCTTGTGCTTGGCAGTTCATTCCCACTCTGCAAGCTCCCAAGCTCCTTCCTCAGGAACTGCTGCTCCACAGAGCCTGCTCCAGAGCCTGTGATCTAACCCAGTGCCGCGTGCCTGCGTAAGCACGGGGCAAGGTTCGATTTCAGGACGGTGCTTGCTCAACTCACTGTTTCTGTCAAGCAGAACACAGAACTTCCTTCCCCTCAATACTGAGAATTCTCAGGTGCCAAATGCAGGCGTGCAGGCAGCCTGTTGCAGAAGGCTTCTCTTCCTTGACTCTGCAGGGAAGGCTCTGCTCGCAGAGGATGGGCCTTCTGTGGTGAGGCCAGGGCTCTCTCCTCTCTGTGTCCAGACTTGGCAACTTCTATCCCTCTCTGGAGGAAGATGCATCTGGTTAGGATGTGACTCTGGCATTGTCAAAAGAACAAAGGGGCCTGTGAGAGGGCTCAGCAGGTAGAGGTGTCTGCTGTGTAAGCCCAGAGACCCGAGTTTGATCCCTGGAACTCTCATAAAAGGGGAGAGATAACTTGACTCCACAGAGTTGTCCTCTGACTCCCCTAATTAATTATTAATAAATCAATCAATCAATTAATTAATTAATTAATTAAAAACTAAGAAGTGTGGATAGCCAGGTGAGCTTCCCATACCTCATATCTCCCTTTTCACTCAAAGACCCAGGATAAGTTCTAGGCTCTCCTGAGGGTGCAAGAGTCACCCCACCCCTGAGGCTGAGTTGTTGAACTGTTCCCCAAGTGCTTATTATGAGCTGATGGGACAGCTATCAAGCCCACAATGGAAGCTCCTTCACAGCTCATTCCCCCCCCCCCCCCCCGACCAAACCCCGATGCCAGAGGCAGGTGTCAGGAGCCAAAGGGTAGCCAATGTGTGCTCACAGTGGGGACATGCTGTGTGTTCTAAGAGAAAGAGATGTGGCAGGTGCCAGGAAAGACATGGCTCCAATCTTGGGGCACGGGTTGGGGCCTGACTGGTGTCTGAGTTGGCAGCTTCTTGGTTTTTGTGTCCCCTTTGTCTGATAAGAAAAGCCCTCCTTGGGGGAGTGGAGACGTGAGCAATGGGAAAAACATCAGCGAGACGCACTTCTCGCCTTATCCTGGTGTTCATGCACTGGACCCTAGCTGCTGGCCCAGGGCTGCACTTGACCTACCCCCATTACACAGATCTCATCTGTTGTACTAGATGTACTGTCCTTAGGGTCCCACATGTGACATCTCAGGGGTTCCAGTCTCACAAACTCCAGTGGGGCTGGAACCTGGAGGCCCTGGGCAGTCTCTCACCCTCATTTGATGGCGTCTGACCTATGAGAACTAGCTCTCTCCAGGGACACATGCCCACCGTTCCTCACAGTGACACTGAGAATGTTCTCACGTGGCTCAGGATGTTCGTTGCCCTTGTTCTAGTGTGATCCTTTATTTCTGAGGTGGGAGTCAGCCAGCTGAAGCCCAGAAAAGGTGGGTTTATAATTCATGAAGCACATGGAAGGCCAGGTGAAAACCAGATTCTCTCAAGGTCTTTCCTAGGAAAACCTCTACTCATTGTGCAAACCCAAAGAGGCAAACTAGATTCCCCTGGGAGGGTAGAGGGGTGTTGTCCTAGAGGAGACTGGCTCACTTCCGGTGAGGAATCTGTGCTGTGCCCGTGGTCCTGTTCATTAATCATTAGTTGATCTGGAGGCAGCGGGTGGGGAGCAGAGGGCTTTTTCTTCCTGAGTGCCCCAAGCCACTCTGCAGCTCAGATAGCCACCCAAGGCCACTCCAGGACGGACTGTGTCTCGTGAGTAACCCAGGGATAAGGGGAACAATGTCAAAAGAGGGTGACTTGCCATGCTGGTTTGCCCCAGACCGAAAGCTCTTCCTAGGTCACTGGACTTCAGAGCTAAAGCCGGGGCAGTCTGGGGCCAACTGGACAGCTGGTCACCCTCCCTACATGCTAGAAATGCCGAGACTGGACGGAAACCCTGGTGTACCTGTGTCCAATGCCCCTGCTCCCCTGCTAGGCTGCTGGTACTCAAGCCCCTAAAATTTCCACACAGCTAACTCAGGACAAAGATCAGCCAAATCTTGGTCTTCCGAAGCTCCCAGGGCAGGTGCTGTTGACATACCAGAGGGCATTCTGGGTAATTCACTTAAAGCCACAGAAAAGTACATGGTCCTGGTGCTGGGATTTGGAAGCTATGTAGGGAAGGGAGAGTCTAGGAAGCCAGATGTGTTATTGAATCCTCCCTCCCATGATGAAAAGCCAGGTAGAGAGAGCTACTGTTACGGTTGTGTCCAAGGTCAGCGAAGTACAGTTCAAGGGTCAAGTGTGGCCCACTCTCCAAGGGAAGAATGCAAGATGCAGAATGCCAAGATGAAAGTTATGATTTGAAAACTGAAGTTAAATATAACTGTAGGAATGATCATTGAGCCATGTCGCTGAGTGTGGTGACCCAAGACTGTAATCCCTGCTACTCAGGAGACTGCCCTAGACAACTTAGTGAGATAGTATCTCAAAACAAAAAAAGGAGGAAGTCAGGCAGGTCTTTTACTACACCCATCACCCCGTGTTCTCACACTGTACTAACAAATGTACCGTGGAGGGGAGGGGGGCTGGAGAGATGTCTCAAAAGTCAAGAGCACTCACTGCTCTTGCATAGGACCTGGGTTCTGTTCCCAGCACCCACGTCAGACAACCCACCTGTAATTCTAGTTCTGGCTGATTCAGCACCCTTTTGTCTCTTATGTGTGCACAAGCTCGTGTGAAAAAATGGCTAGGGATACTAGACTTAAAACGTAATGGTATGACATTTGCCTAGGGTACATGAAGCCCAAAGGTCAATTCCTAGTACAAGAGGAGAAAAAACAGGTAGGCAGTGTATTGTGACACCCTAAGGTTATTTGAACTCCAGACCACAGAGCCCATATGTAGAGTTTTGCCAAAAATGCTTGCCTTGCCCACCGTTGCTTCCCAGTGTCCAGGGCAGAGTGAATCATGGCTGAAGAGACTGGTTTGCACAGCCATGGAGGACACGATCTAGCCCTTGGTGAGAAGTTTCTCAACCCTAGTCTGAGGGAGAGACATGGAGGCAAAAACAAGGATTCTTGTGTGTAGGAGATGAGTGGTCCAAAGAGAAACTCTCAGGACATACTGTGGGAAGTGTGTATATGGGGGAGAGGGCGGGGAGGGGACAGAAGGCCAGAGAGATGAGCAGGGTGCTCAGAGGGCTTTTGGCCAAGAACCTAACAGTGGGAGGATCATCGGATGGAACAAGGGTAGATTCAGTGTAGAAAACAGAATAGCCTGTTTGGGGCAGGTCAAGTCCATTGTAAGAAGGGAATGATCTCACCATTGTAACTGCAGGCAAAGTCACTGACATCGCTTTCCTCTTCCGGATGGGACGTGAGAGGAAGACAGCCCTTCCTTCCTATCTCCACCTGGGAGAGAGCACAACGAAGTGAAGGACAGTGGCCTGTAGACTGGCAGCACAGGGACAGTGGCAAAGGTGGTGTTCACACCTTCACTGTCCTTTCCCAGGATGACTGAGATAGTCCCCGGGAAAGAGCAGGGTGGAGGAGCCAGTGCCTGGCCGAGAGGAAGTCTACCTCTGGCTGGACTTTTGCAAGTTGGGTTTGGATCCTTTCTTTCCTCCTGAATCTAGGCAAGCTCACAGAGAGGGTAAATAAAATGAGATGGGCATTAAAAAAAAAAGGACAAAATTTATAGAATTGTATTACTATAGAACATACTAATTCATAGAGACAGACAGATTAGACGCTATCTCAAGATGGAGAAGAAAGGAATGTAGAGCAATGATTTCCTAAGTACAGATTCTCTGTTTTGTGTAATGGAAAAGTCCCACAAATTGACAGTAGTATCAGGACATAATCTCATGAATGTACTAAATCAATACAATTAATGTAATTAATGAATATCATAAATATAATTATTGATTGAATACTGTGAATATAATCAATGAATACCACAAATGTAATTAATATCATGAGTGTAAGTAATGAATATCATGGGTGTAATAAATAAATAAATAAATAAAATGAGATGGAGGCATAGGCATGTGATCCATGAATCTAAAGCTGTGGCACCAAATGGTAGCGTTGTCACCCCACAAGTGGCGGGTGCTGGCATTCACTTGCCTTCCACTGACAGTACTGAGCACAAGCCTCTATCCCATAAACATGGCGAAAAAGGCAAGCAGAGGGGTTTTATTAGGAAATAGGAGTGGTGGGGCTAGCTCCTGGACACTCTGGAGACATTTAGGCATCTTCTTATTGGAAAGATCTGTTGTCGCATGTAGAAGGGATCATATGTTGCATGTTCAAAGATGCCTCACAGGAAAATCTTTGGATTTTGATTTGGAAAAATCACAGAATTGAGCTCCCATGTGAGGTTAATTCTAGGTCAGTAGAAGAGGGAATGGACAGCTCTGACTAGCTTAAACCAGTCCCTTGATGGTTTCCAAAGGAGAAATTAGCAAACAAAGAGCAATTTAAATGGATATTTACATGTACAGTGATGTAATGTCATCTACAGGGCCATCTCCCCCTCCCAAGCATAGGTGTTAGCCCCTAAAACTCCCTACCTAATGATTGACAAGCATAGGTGTTAGCCCCTAAAACTCCCTACCTAAGGATTGACTCTCCCCACCCCTGAGGCTGTGGCTGCCACTGTCAGCTCGGCAGGGTCCTGTCTGTTGCTGGAATGTCTGTGGGGGTGGGGTGTCATTTTCTCTGCAGATCTGAGAGCTCCGGTATGCATCGCACTCAGCACCTGCCCCTTCTTCTGATTGGACTCCTGCTGCTTCCTCACAGCCAGCCAGTCCAAGCATCGGAGGACACATCTAACCAAACCTATATAGAGTTCTCACCCAACCAAACCTATACAGAGTTCTCACAGTCGAACATCTCCAGCTACCAGATTGCCTCCGGCAATGCCGACTTTGCCTTCCGCCTCTACCACCTGATAGCATCCCAAAACTCTAGGCAGAACATTTTCTTCTCCCCACTCAGCATCTCCTTCGCCTTGGCCATGCTGTCCACAGGGGCTGGTGGGGACACCCAGACTCAGATCCTTGAAGGCCTGGGCTTTAACCTCACGAAGCTGTCATTGCCCGAAATCCATGAGGGCTTCAGGTTGGTGCAGCACAGGCTAAGTCGTCCATCCCCCGAGCTGAGCATCAAGGTAGGCAATGTGCTGATCCTGAGCCAGGACCTGCAGCTCCTCTCCGACTTTATCAGTGCCACCAAAGCCTCCTATGACAGCAAAATCTTACTCAGTAACTTCAGAGACACAGAGGCTACGACCCGGCTCATCAACAACTATGTCAAGGAGAAAACTCATGGAAAGATCAGGGATTTGGTCAGTGGCCTGAGCCCTGACGAAAGGATGGTTCTGGTGAATTACATCTTCTTCCAAGGTGAGCTCAACAAGGTGCCAGCGTACGCTTCTGCTCGGAGATGGGCGAGGGTGGGAAGCAGCACCCAGGCACCCCCAGCTCTTTCCATGGTCTCATCTTCTTGTGGAGACCTCCAGAGCTCAATGGAGCTCAGTCCACTTTTCAAACTCAGCTTTTCGTGTTTATTTTGAAGGGAGGAGTGCATGCCACAACACACACGTGGAAGTCAGAGAACGTCTTACGGGAGTGGTTCTCTCCTTTCGTCGTGTGTGTCCCAAGATCACACTCAAGTCATGAGACTTGGTGGTTGTGCCTCTACCCCATAAGCGATCTCCATGGCTCCAAATCTCAAATTCCCAGACAATAACCCAGGCAAATTAGCCACCATGCCTGTGTGTCACAGTGACATCACTGATCACTCAAAAACAACTTCCTTTTAAAGATTCATTTTATTGGATTTTTGTTGTTGTTGTTGTTGCTACTGCTGCTGCTGCTGTTTGCTCGTTTAGTTGTATGTCTGTCTGTGGGTTTGTGCATGTAAGTACAGATGCTGGCCATAGCCAGAGGCATCAGATCACTTGGAGCTGGAGTTACATCTGGTTGTGAGCCACCAAGTAGGTGCTGGGAGTCAAACTCCAGTCCTCTGGAAAAGCAGCAGGTGCTCTTAAGTGCTGTTCCATCTCTCTAGTCCAGGGGTTCTCAACCTTCCTAATGCTGCGACCCTTTAATACAATTCCTCATGTGGTGACCCCCAACCATACCATTATTTTTGTTGCTACTTTATAACTATAATTTTGTTACTATTACGAATCATCACGTAAATATTTTTGGACATAGGAGTTTGCCAAGGAGGTTGTGACCCACAGGCTGAGAACCACTCTCCTAGATTATTCTCAGTTGAATCAAGCTGCTGATTGAGATCAACCATTCCTCCTAGATGGCTTGAATGGAGCACAGTAACAATGAGGAAGGGGCTTCAGTGGCTATATCATGGCTCTAGGCTGCAGGTGGCACTCCCTGAAGGAAGATTCGGCTACTCTGTCTCCCTTATATCCTCAGGTCTGTGGAAGAAACCCTTTCCATCCTCAAAAGGCTTTGTCGGTGACTTCTACGTAGATGAGAACACTGTCGTGAAGGTGCCCATGATGCTGCAAGATGATCAGCAGCACTGGTATCTTGATGACAGACATGTGCCCTGCACGGTGCTGCGGATGGATTACAAAAATGATGCTGTGGCCTTTTTCATCCTTCCTCAAAAGGGCAAGATGAAGGAGGTGGAGCAGGTGCTATCCCCAGACATGCTAACAAGGTGGAACCACTTGCTTCAGAAGAGGTAATCAGGGTGCCACGTGGAGTTCAAGCTACAGGGCCACTTGCAAATGGGCCCGTCCCATGAAACTCAGTGGCCAGAAACTACAGTGACCACTACTCTGTGAAACCATTGCCCTATCTTCGAGACTTCCTTGGATCTTAGACAGCAGATTCTCCCATCGTGCTTAGTACAGGGTCCCACTCTCATCGGAGAAAACCACTTTAGAGTTAGGGGTGTTGAGTTCTTTTCGTTGCACAGGCCTTGGGTAGAGCGGCTTTGCCTCTGAGGGTCAATCCTTGTGCAGTGAATATGAGAACTGCTGCCTAAGCTGATGAAGAAGGGTTAAGAAAATTCTATTAAGAAAATCCACCCAATTCCATACACAGAGAGAAAGAGAGGGGAGCGTGCGAGGAAGAGAAACTACTGTGCCCCCTCATGCCCCTTCAGGTACCTTTACAGAAAGGTTTTGTTGCATTTCCCCTGCTTCTCCATTTCAAATCCTTATGCATTTGGATGAGATTTTGCCTGACCTGGGCTTCCAGGACCAGTTCACCCAGCACTCTCACAGAGGTGCTTCTGGTAGCCAAACTCAGGTGAAACGAAGACAATCCTTTCCTTCTAATGAAGGCTCAGATCAGCTGCGGCCACAGCTGCTCCGAGCAAGGCAGCCCTTCCTCCCACTGAAGCTCGGAGTGGAAGCGTTTCTAATCATGGAGAAGAAAAAGAGCAGCCCGAGGCTTCATTCAGACAGGAGTTCACATCAGCTGAGACAGAATCAACCCATAGAAATCAGTCAGTCACGGCAGAGGGGACCCAAAAGGGGACCTCCGAAGAGGCAAAGGCAGTCTGCCACATGAAGTGGCTGGCACCTGTCTTCCAGGGTACCTGTACACCTCCATAATATAGCTTCTAGGGAAGATGAGTGTCCAAAGGCAATAACTACCCCCAGATAAACTACAGTCGACTCAGGAATGCACAGAGGAAAATCAGTTGTCCCCTGAGAAGGAGCCCCTTAATTGGTTGTCCAATACCAAGTGGTCAGCCCTGAAATCATATACATACAAGAAACACTAAGTGGAGGAGTTAGAGAAAGGGAAAAGGTTAGGTGAAATGGTGTAATTATATTTCAATAAAAAAATCATTCCCCCTAGGTAGCTAAGTAGACATCTGGGGCTTGTCGCCACTGTAAGCACCTAGCTGAGGTGTTACCTGCCTCATGGGTGCTTCTGGAAGCCAAACTCAAGTGGAATAGAGTCATTTTCTTCTGAAGAAGGCTCAGAGAAATCAGGGCCCAGCTGCTTCAGGAAGCTAATGTCTTGAGCTGGAGAGATGGCTCAGACAATAGAGAACCTGAGTCTGAATCCCAGAACTCACAATTTTAAAGAGCCAGGTGTGGTGGCAGGCACCTGTAGTCCCAGGAGACAGGTGGGTCCCTGGGGTTTGAGCACCAGCCAGCCTAACTGACCGGCAAGTTCCAAGACAATGAGAGACCCTGTCCCAGTGACCTGAGGTTTGTCCTGTGCCTGCCACACACGTGCACATGCAGCACACACACACACACACACACACAGAGAGAGAGAGAGAGAGAGAGAGAGAGAGAGAGAGAGAGAGAGAGAGAGAGAGAGAGAGAGAGAGAGAGAAAGAAAGAGAGAGAGGAAGAGAGAGGAAAAGAGAGAGAGAATCTAACATGCTTCCTTGTCTGTCCCTTCAGATACTTTTACAGAAAGCTCTCACTGCAGTTCCCCAAATTCTCCATTTCAAATTCCTACGCATTGGATGAGATTTTGCCTGGCCTGGGCTTCCAGGACCTCTTCACCCATCATGCTGACTTCTCTCATATCAACCAAGATGAGAAATTGCAGTTATCCAAAGTAAGTAATAAAGGATCATTGACCCTATAGACCTCTGTGGGAGACTTCTGCCCCCAAGAAGGAGGTGGGCAATGGGCATGGTCTCTGGGAGCCTGAGTGTGCTCAGTCTTCCAAAGGTATGAGCATCTACACAGCGGCACACAAGCTGCTGGACACAGTCTCAGTGTGGAAATGATATGACAATGGCCAGCTCATGCCCTCAGACGCCCCTGAGTCAGGCCAAGGGTCTGGCACTTGGGTATGTCAGAGCCACAAAGCGTGAGGACTGTACTATAGGAACAGCAAAGGGAGGAGACTGAAGCCTGTATCTGTGTGTTTTTATAGGAGAGCCAGAGATGAATTACTTTAAACGTGGGGAGTAGACATATTAATGGGTACACTCTAGGAGAGGAGTCCGAATTTCTGTCTTGCTCCTCACCTTGGGATATTGCCTGATCTTTGCTTTAATTATCCTTGTCTCTAAAGTGGTCATAATGCCACTGACCTCCTAGGAGGTGACATACATACATAGGGACACCGAGGGGCTCAGGAGTGACAACTGTCACTACTGTGCATTTGGAGAGGCTGTGAAGCCTGTGTTTTCTCTCTTAGGTTTTCCATAAGGCTGTCCTGGATGTGAATGAAGTTGGAACGGAGGCTGCAGCATCCACTGGTATCTCGGCCATGTTTTTCTCTGCTAAGCCCAAGAAACGGGTCCTTGTATTCAACCAGCCATTCTTTGCAGTGATCTATTCCACCAGCACCCAAAATATCCTCTTCATGGGGAAGGTGTTCAACCCCACAGCATAGCTGTCCCAGGACTAGCTGGTCTCTTACCAGCATGAGGATGTGGCTCTCCCGGGAGGGCTGGGTATGAATAGCTCTGCAACTGTGACTGAGGGCAGGGAGGGGTCCCTGACTCCAGAGAGGAGCCAGTGGTACAGGAAGAGGTAGGGCAAGATGGGCTGGAAAGTGAGAGGCCCTCTTAGGAGGGTAACACTGATTAAACCAAATGACAGCTCTGAGACCCTAGTGTGTGTGAATGGTACCTCACATGTAACAGACACTTACATCTCCTTTGCCTGTCCCTCCAGGCCTTACCCTGTTAGCAAACCTGGTCCCAGACATGGAGTATGAGGTGCTCAAGCCCCATATGGCTGCCCAGGTACATAGAGAAGGGAAGTCAGTTGGCTGAGTGGAGTTAGTGTTTTGTTTTGTTTTGTTTTTCCCCAGAAGGGGGACTGAAAATGCTTTGGTAAGAGGACTCTCACCAGAAGCAGCATGAGCTGCTTGGACACTGGCCTGGGGTCTCTGTTACCTTTGCCCCATGGTGACCACGCCTACCAGAAGCAGCTTGAGGAAGGATGGATTTATGCTGGCGTGTTGCTTCAGAGGTCTTCTGTCCATGGCGGCAGGGAAGGCCTGGCCACAATCTCAGTTCATGGTGGTGAGGGAGGGGGTAGAGGGAGAAGGTTGTTCACATCATGGTGGACCAGAAAGCCAACAGTGAAGCCAGAACCAATTTTCAAAAGCTCACCCTCAGAGACCCACTTCAACAAACAAGCCCCAACGGTTAGACATTCCACAGCCTCCTAAAACAGTACCACCAGCTTGGAAATGTGTTCAAAACATAGTCTGTGGGGATGTTTCAGATTCTTACCATATATCTAGTGAGGAAGGCTCAGAGGGACGTGCTGCCTATGGTCTGAGACATGACTAGTGCCACTCACAGCATAGACAGCTGTGGCCAGCAGCATGCTGCAGGAACATGAGCCGGGAGCCAGGAACAGCATTGTTAATATATTGGCCATGCTGCTGATGTGGTCTGGGACTTCAAGAAAGTGCCCTCCCTTCTTGGGGCTCAATTTCTCCACCTGAGTAATATGTTATGCTGCTCTCCCCTTGATCTGGCTCAGATCATTTCAGAAGCAGAGTGAGTTCTCCAAAGAGGGACGCTTCTAGCATCTGGGAGTACAAAACCCTACCCGTGGAGGAGGCAGGCTGACAGGAACTGGTTCTGTCTGCAGCAAACCTCTGGTTTCCAGCAGATGCCTTCTCTAGGCCACACCCTGGGAGCTGACAGGGGCTGGTGTGACTAGCACCAGGCTGAGAGTCAACATGGCCTCTCTGATGTCAACGTGGAGTTCCAGGACACTGAGAGCCTAGAGCAGTGCAGCCAAGAGGGACCCTTACCCATTCTTTTCTTGATCCAGGTCACTCTCTGCTTTTATGTTCAGGGCGAGAACTCCCATAATGCTTTGCCATCAGCTGAACACACTTTATCGACAAGCTAGGTGGCTCATTTTACTCCCACGTATTGCACATTCAGTGTTATAAATGGTGGGTTCTGATTTTACTTCTCTGGACCTCAGTACCCTCACCTGTGAGACGGGACAAGTAAAGCTGCCTCTGCCTCCTGGAATCACACTTCCTATATGTGGGAGACCTTAAAACGGAGCTATGCATACACTGGCCCTGTTACTCTTTCCATGAGCCCCACATCCAGATACCCAGTGCTGCTCTGAGCTTCTGTTTGTCCCCACCCACCCAGGCCAATTCCCCTTATGCATCCCAGGTCATTCTCTTTTGGACATACTTGTTATTCAGACATAGATACAAAATCCCAGTGGGATGTGGTTCTAAACTTGAGGACATTTTTCTTGGCCCTTCTCTTTCTGTTATCAGTTCTTTTCCTGACTGAGCTTCCAGAAGGTTCTAGATCAGTACTCAGCTCCACACCCCTCCCCTTTCTCTCTGTAAGTCAAACTGAGGTAGAACCTCTCTTCTCAGTTTGTTCAGGGTGGAAAACTGGGGCTAGTACACTGTGGCCAACTCAAGGAATTTTCCAGACTTCAAGATTTGGAGGCCACTGACCACATCCACTCTGAGGAACTTCATGGTGTCCAGAGCACCTAGAGACAGTTCTGAAAATTCAGTCCGTGGCTGGAGAACAGGACCCAAGTTCCCTGACCCTTGTCTGTGGCGTACAAGAAACACCATATCCCAAAGACAGAGTAGTCACTGGTGACCCAGAAGAGCCCCCTCCAGCTGGCACCCATTCAAAAGTCAGGGTACATCAGAAATTATATGACATGGTCATGGCTCCAGCAAAGTCACATGCCCAGGAACAGGCTAGTTGCCAGGAAGCCAAGACAGAGAGCATCCTCCACTCACAACAGAAAATGTTGCCAAGGGAAGTGGTGAAGGCAGGACCAAGGAGGCTGTCCTCCACTCAGACCTCTAAAACACAGCTTTGAATAGGACCCTAGTCAGCGTCAGGAGAACACTGACAGAGGAGGGACCCATAGGGGGCCATTGCTGAGAGGGATAGTTCTGGGGCTCGATACTCCTCCACCAGGTTATACTCACAAGCACATATAAGTGCTTAGAACTCAAGAGGCCCTGCAGATCACAGAAGACTGCATGGCTGAGCTCAGGACAAGCTGGGTTCTGGTTTTCAACATCCCTGTAAGAGGTAAAGTTAGGCCCAGGCTGGCTTATGCCCTCTCAACCCTACAGACACAGGTGGATGAGTGAATAGAAGAAGGTAAGCTGCAGGCAGTCTAGGTTTACGTAGGGCAACCACCCTGGCAGGGTGACGTGTGGATGTAGGTAGAGTTTTCCTGCCTGGCCCACAGTCAGGACAAATCTCTCTCACCTGCCAGTCCCACAGCCTTTCAAACCCAACCAAGTAAACACAGAGGCTTATTTTGCTTACAAACTGTATGGCCGTGGCAGGCTTCTTGTTAACTGTTCTTACAGCTTAAATTAACCCATTTCTATTAATCTATACCTTGCCACGTGGCTCGTGGCTTACCGGTATCTTCACATGCTGTTTCTCATCATGGCGGCTGGCAGTGTCTCTCTGACTCAGCCTTCCACTTCCCAGCTTTATTCTCCTCCTTGTCCCGCCTACACTTCCTGCCTAGCCAATGGCCAATCAGTGTTTTATTTATTGACTAATTAGCAACACATTTTCCATACAGAACATCCCACAGCACTTCCCCTTTTTTTTTTCAAAAAGGAAGGTTTTAACCTTAACAAAGTAAAATTACATATAATTTGGGAATTTGGGCGTAGCTTCTCTTACTACTTCCTGCTGGAGGGGGGCGCTGTATCTTATGGGGATACAAAGAAAATTTTAGAATTATAGAATAGTCCATGAGGGTGTATCATCTAAGCCAGTTGCCTTGAAAGAATTCCGGATGTTGGGTCATCTGGGCCATGGTGTCATCGGAGACCTTTCAGGGGGGCTTGGCTGGTCAAACCTGATGTATCTTAATCTGGAACAAATCCATAGCCTCTTGCTTTCTGTGGGAACAAAAGCAGAGTCTCCTTTCCAAAGTAACATATCCTTATATTCAAATTTTGAAGTCAAGGTACCTTTAAAATATACATTTTGGCATAACTCAACAGCTTTTACAATCAAATATTTTTCTGCAGTTAAAAGTCCCAAAGACAACACAATGCAGATTCTCTGTATAATATCCATTTTTACGTGGCTTATTTTTTATACTACCTTTACTGTCTCTTTAAAGACTTTATTTTTTAAAACTATGTATTTGTTTCTATAACTCTATATATCATCTTTTTTGTCTCTTTCAAGCCTACGTATCTTTTACACACATTGCAAACTATTACATCTGAATCTGTCTTATTGTGAATCTCTTGCTTTAAACTGCAGCAGCTGTGGCTGCTGGATCCACCCACCTCAGCTTCCCAACGTGGCGTTTTCCACCAGCTCTGGGAGCTATCGTGGGTCTCTATGCTTTTATCCAAGCAGCGTATAGCCCAGAAACCTCTTTGTTTTGTACCTGCAAAGGCTAAATCCACCACGCAGCTTAATGTGCCACTTGCAGAGGCCTCATTCCCGCCATACTGCAGGTCGAGCGCTCACACTAGGAACCCACCAGTAGCTCAAACCGGCAGCTGCCGCTCATTTGAGAGAGACAATTAGGAAGCTGTTTTTAGCTCCGTTTTAGAATCTTTTCTCAGGTTTTAGGTGGAAACTCTTGCCACCACGTTGGACGCCATTTGTAGGTAGAGTTTTCCTGCCTGGCCCACAGTCAGGACAAATCTCTCTCACCTGCCAGTCCCACAGCCTTTCAAACCCAACCAAGTAAACACAGAGGCTTATTTTGCTTACAAACTGTATGGCCGTGGCAGGCTTCTTGCTAACTGTTCTTACAGCTTAAATTAACCCATTTCTATTAATCTATACCTTGCCACGTGGCTCGTGGCTTACCAGTATCTTCACATGCTGTTTCTCATCATGGCGGCTGGCAGTGTCTCTCTGACTCAGCCTTCTACTTCCCAGCTTTATTCTCCTCTTTGCCCCGCCTACACTTCCTGCCTAGCCAATGGCCAATCAGTGTTTTATTTATTGACTAATTAGCAACACATTTTCCATACAGAACATCCCACAGCATGTGGATGTGTGAGACCCTGGTGTGATGAAGGGGAGAAGCTGAAAGTGCCTTACCCTCAAGTCAAGGAGACTGATGCCTCCTTATGCTGATGTGTAAGTCAGGGAGATTGATGCCTCCTTATGCTGATGGTGTGCTCCTTCCTTTCTCACTCTAAAACAATCAGTTGTAACACAAATTGTTAGAAAGTCTTATTAATAGAAACAACCCAGAGCCAGGTATTGGGGTGAACGCTGAAAGATCAGAGAAACAGAACAGACCACAGCTAAACACACCTTGCCAATTCCTCAGCTGGTCTTTTTTCCTCAGACTGGAAGCCTCTGAGCCTAGCTTACTTGGTGAGCTACTAGCCAAAGAGAGACCCTGTCTCAAAAGAGCAGAGTA